CTTCACTGACTAGGCTTTTAAGTGTGTGTTGGAGAAATTTATAAATCTCTTATTTTAGATTAATGAGTGCAGTGCATTTATATAGACTTTTGTCTTATGTGTAAATCTTTAGTATATTTTTTTAAATGTTTTGTTTTTTGAAACAGGGTTTCTCTCTGTAGCCTTGGCTGTCCTGGAACTCACTTTGTAGACTAGGCTAGCCTCAAACTCACAGAGATTCACCTGCCTCTGCCTCTCAAGTGCTGATATTAAAAGTGCACAGAGACTAACCACCAACCAAAGAGCATGCATTGACTGAGCCTAGGTCCCCTACACATGTGTAGCTTTTGGGCACCTTGGTCTTCATGAGTATCCCCTGGCAATTGGAGTGGGTGCTGTCTCTGATATGGACTCTGTTACCTACCTTTGGATCACTTTCCCCTAGCTGGGCTGCCTTGTCTGCCTCAGTGGAAGAGGATGTGCTTAGTCCTGATGCAACTTGATATGCTGGGGGCAAAAGGGGTATAGTGGGTGCTCCCCTTTTCTTAGGAGAAGGTGAGGGGAAAAGGAAGAGAAGGGTGGGAGGAGGTGGGCTGTGATAGAAATGTAAAGTGAGTAAATTTAAAAAGTTAATAAAAATTTGTTTTAATTTTATAAAGGTATGTGTCACTACCACCCAGCTGTATGTTAAAATTTTTAAATAATAGGAAAGTAAAGGGAATGACTGGGAACCAAATGTGGTCCTATAGAGATTTCTCAGTGGATAAAGCCCTGGCCACTCTTCCAGAACACCTGGATTTAGTTTCCAGTACCCACATGGCAGCTCATAGCCATCTGTAACTCCAGTTGCAGGGGATCTGATGCCCTTACTTGGCTTCCATAAGCCCCAGGCACATGTATGGGTGCACAGATATACAGACAGGCAAAAAACTCACACACATAAAATAAAAATAATTTTTTTTCTTATATGGGTGCTGGAAGGGTATCAGTTGTGCATGCCTATTCCCCCATGTGCTAGGAAAGTCAGGGGGGATGTGATAGTGGAAGCTATTCTATTGGGCTATGTTTTCCTTTTTATTTGCTGGTGCAAGAAATACTTTAGCATTTGAAATGATTTGTTAAACTATAGAGCAGAATATATAAAAATATATACCTAGGCTGAGCTTGGTGATTCATGCCTTTAATTCCAGCACTCAGGAGGCAGAAGCAGGCCAGTTTCTGTAAGTTCAAGACTGGCATGATTTACAAATTGAGATCCAGGCCATACTAAGAAGTAATATGCCTAAAAATTCATAGTGCCTGAGTTTACTTACCCTTCATACTTAGTATGTCTCATTTGGTCAACAGAAAGATGAGCTCCTTATTGAGCAGTTGGAATTATATCTGACATACAATATATTTACTAAACATTAGTGACTTTATAAATAGAAGAAAAACAGACTGGCTAAAAGTTTTCCATGATTTTATTAAAGCAACAAAATTCTTCTAGATGTAGTTATTTTTGTTTAACTCAGGATTGGGTCTTCCAAATGCAAGGTAATTATATTTTCCTGATGTGAAGTCTCTCTCCTAAGTGAGGTAATTTCAGGGGCTCTTTTTTAAATAATTTTTTATTAATTACACTTTATTTACTTTGTATCTCCCCTGTAGTTCCCTCCTTCCTCCCTCCCAATTCCTCCCTTCTTCCCCCTTCTCCATGCATGCCCCTCCCCAAGTCCACTGGTAGGGGAGGTCTTCTTTTCCTTCCTTCTGATCCTAATCTGTTAGGTCTCATCAGGCCTGGCTGCATTGTCTTACTCTGTGGCCTGGTAAGGCTGCTCCCCCCTCAGGGGGAGGTGATCAAAGAGCCAGTCACTGAGTTCATGTCAGAGACAGTCCCTGTTCCTATTACTAAGAAACCCACTTGGGGACTGAACTGTCATGGGCTACATCTGTGCAGGGGTTCTATGTTATCTCCATGCATGCTACTTGGTTGAGGTATCAGTCTCAGGGAAGATCCCTGTGCTCAGATTCTTTGGTTCTGTTGCTCTCCTTGTGGGGCTTCTGTCCTCTCCAGATCTCAAAAGATTTTAAATTGACTCAAATTCACTGAAATTGTAAGACAAAGTATGAATAAGTTATAGGATATAGAAATGAATGCATGAATACTCACTAAGAGTTGAAAAACATCACACATTGAATTTAAAAAGAGAGAGAGAGAAACCAAAAAAGAGATTAGTGAGATAGAGCCAGAGTGCTGACAAAAACATTAGAAATGAAACATTTTTATACCCAGCCATGATGCCCTTCAAATATTCTAGTAAGGAAGCAAATCTTAACAACGATGCACAAAATAAAGCATTTAGGGCCCATTTTAAAGCAGAAGCACGAGATTTCAGGTGTTAATGAAAACTATTAATTAGGTTATAGCCTAGGAAGTCTCAGAAGATGCTGTCCTAAAGACATGGTTTATAGAGTGTGTGTTTTATTTTTGACCTGGGCACACACATCCATGCACATGTGCACACATGCATGCATGTGCACACACACACACATAGAAATAATATAATTCTTTTAAAAAACTTATATTCTAAACTTTTATGCTTAACCCTTACAACCCCTCTCACATGAGAGAATTTACATGACAATATATATATAATAGATATACAAACAAAACATTTACTGATATTAAATCAAAATTAAATTTACTTTAAAATGTCTTTGATATACATGTACTTTTACCACTTACTAAAGACTAAAGCACTTTTATATACTAATGAAATAGATGTGATTATTCAGTTTTACATAGTTAAATCTTTGCTAAATATTTGATGCTGAGTGATGTAGAAAATCCTCAATGTCTTTCAAAGTCTGTCAATATTTTGACTTTATAATAGTCAATAATGAGAAAATCCACTTTGAATAAATACATGGTAAAAAATAGTTGATGTCTGTTTAGGACCACATCAGAAATTGCTGGAAATTCTGTTTTAATTCTAAGCCAAAATTCATTAATTTTTTTTAATGGAAGTCAACAACTCAGTAGTTTTTAAGATCAAACGTTCTAACACAGTGTGATCTAAATATGCTAATCTAGGCAGGTGACCTAGCTTGGCAGGTACCCACCCATGACAGTTGGCAACCTCAGTTCAGTCTCTGGAATCCACATAAAGGTGAAAGGAGAGAATCAACTCACAGAGTTGCCCTATAACCTCTACATATGAAACATGGCATGCACCCACCACATACACACATAATTCACAGTTACACAATAAAATTTTGAAAAAAGAATCTGTGGGCTTAGAGAGATGTCTGAGTGGCTAAAAGCACTTGATAGTCTTCCAGATGACCTGAGCTTAGTTTGCAGATCCCATGTTGGGCAATTCAAAATCACCTGCAACTCCAAGTTAGCCAATGTCTTCTTCTGGCCTTCATGGATACCTACACACAAGTGGTATACACTCACACTGACACACACTTGCACATGAATGAAAACTAATCTTTAAAATATATTTTTTAAAGAATGTTTTTAAAGATATCAAGCTGGTATTGTAGGAAAATGCTGAAGGTCTATAAGCAAACCATTATATTTCTATAAGAACAGAAAAATGTATGTGCAGTAAAAACATTGCATGTGACAAACTGGACTGTGAGCCAGGATGTCTCAGACAGTGGTCATTAGGGATGCTGGGGTGATGGGCAATATGCATGTTATGTGCTCAGGACCAAGACCGCAATGAAGTCACAGAATACAACTCGGGGAAAAAACACCTTAGATTCTTTGCTTTTAATTTTACTGTTGCCATCTTGTATTTTGTTTTGGTTTTTATTTGCTTTTTTTTTTCCACAATCTCATCTGAGATCACAAGCCACAGATAAAAAAGCTTTGCTCTAGCACAATTGCCATGGGATTTAAGTAGGTAATGAAAATAACGGCTATAACACATTTCTTCCTTAATTCAGTTTAGCTGAAGAGGAATTAGGATTTACAGGACAGTGTTTTTAAATTAATCCCAGCAAATCTATAGGGCTGCCCTGGCCACCTGAATTTAGTTGTTGTATGCATTTCCCTAGTATATTTCTTCATTTACAGTTGTTTAATGAACTGTGTATATAATACACTGCAATTCAGCTTTAGCATTCTGTTAACTCACACATAAAACATATATTCAGTCTTTCTATTACAAGGAAGGCAGCTGTAGAAAGCCACTGCTGTTTGTGCATGCACATTCCTGTGGCAGCCATGCAAATCTTGCAAAGGTGTCACTTCCAACCCCCTCACTTATCCTTTAGATCTTAAGGATAGATGTAGTCACCAATGCCCACGGATAGGGCACACCACCAGTCCACCCATGTTGGAGGCTTGGGGACACACATGTGCAGATCCCCCAGTGTTGGTATCCTAGTCATCATATGACTCCTACAAAGCACTCCAGCCAGTCAAACCAACCGATGCTACGAGTTGTCCCAACCATAGGTTAGCCCTGTTATAACCTGCACCGTGGTGCAGAAAAGACCTCAGGGTTGGCACAGTGGCATGCCCTGTAAGCAGAGATAAAAGAATGGTACTTAACAAGATGCTGAAAATCATATTAACAGAGATTTTTTTTAACATTTATTTTTATTTTATGTGTGAGTGTTTTGCCTCCATGCTGTATGTACCCACTACCTGTGGTGGCCAGAAGAAAGTGTCAGACCTGCTGTAACTGGAGCTATAGGCAGTTTTGAGTTGTCACATCAGTGCTGGGAACTGAATCTTGGTCCAGTGCAAGAGCGGCAAACTGAGCCATCTCTCCAGCCTCAATGAACAGAGAGCTTAAAAGAAAGAGAGTATCATTCCAGGGACCACGTGCCAGAGTGACATGCTTAAGCTGGCCAACTTGTCAGGACATTCAATTCTTTGTTTATGTCACATTGTTGTGTAATTTCTGACAATAAATATAGAAAACTGTTTGGGGGTAAATAGATCTTTTTCTAAGATTTCTTAAATCCAAAACAGACATTTCTGAGGTATAAAACATATCTTTTTTTTTCCATTTTAGATAATGTGCATACGACAAGAATATGAAACAAAATTCAAAGGATTAATGCCGGTGTCTCTCAGACAAGAACTTGAGGAGACCATCTCCTCCCTAAAGTCGCAGGTAACTCCTAGAGCTGATGTAGGCACATGTTCTGAAAAGAAGCTTGCAGAGTGCCTGATTCTGCCTTTCGGCCAGGAATCGCTGTGGTCCTCATGTTTACCCATCTGCAGCATAAACTGGGTTAGTCCCTGAAACTGGGCCAGCCATGGCATCTTTGATTCATTCACAGTCCAGAGCAATTTCACCTTTTCTTTTTGGTTCAGGTCCAAAATGCCATTCTGTAGCACACTGCTAATTCCTTGCTATGCTGAAGTATAGAGGAACAAAAGTATCATTAACTTAGAAGCATTTTTTCTAGTATGTTTTATATGGCTTTCAAAGATACATATTTTAAGTCTAAGGCAAAATAACATTAATAATTAAGTTTAATGTTTCTTATTGAAGTGTGTGGTTCCTAAAATTTAAGGTGAGAAATGAACACTAGGGAAGCTGAGGCAGGAGGATCACTAATTCAGGGCCAGCCTGGATTACATAGCAAAATCCTTTCTCAAAACAAAGTTTGCAACACACTTCTGTATGGATCATTGTTTTTGCTTTTGTTTTTTGTGGTGGGGAGAGTTTGAGACTGGGATTTAGCCTATAGCACTGGCTGGCCTGGAACTTGTTCTATAGGCCAGTCTGGCCTTGAACGGCCTCTTAGTCCTCAGTACTGGGATTATAGGCGAGTGCCACCATATAGTGAGCATTTTATGCATTGTCAGCCTAGGAGGGGTCTTTTGTGCACTTTGGGGGTGTTTGTTTGTTGTTCACGGGTGGGTTGGTTGGTTGGTTGGTTGGTTTAGAATATGTCTCTACATAGCTGTAGTTATGCTAGAACTCACTGTGCAGACCAGGCTGGCCTCAAACTCAGAGATCTGCCTTCCAAGTGCTGGGATTATGGTGTGTGCCACCACAACGGACTACCTGTGAGTCTTCAGTTCCCACATGAGGACTCTGCATAGTCCCATTTCCAACACACTGGGAACTTAAGATACACAAATTCCTGTAACGGTTACACGAGAGAAGGGTTTCTGCACTCTGAATTCAGAGAACTGTGCCTGGTACATAGCAGCTGCTCATCGAATAATAAAATACCCATTGTAGTTTGGCAGCACTCACATAGAGTGTTTATAATGTGTAAAATGACTATATGAAGCCAAATATGGCGGTGCACACCTTTAATCCAAGCAATGGGAAGACAGAGGCAGATGGAGCTCTATGAGTTCAAGACTACCTTGGTCTACATGGCAAATTCCTGGTCAGACAGGGCTACATAGCAGGGGGAGGGGAGAGAGAGGGGAAAAAAAGCCTGAGATTTGTTTGAGTCACTGACACAGGCTGGTCACCATCTCCTGACAGTCCTGCCTACTTCCCTCAGAGAGAAGGTTGGATGAGAGTTTCTCTCCGTCTGTCTGTCCGCCCGCAGCTGTTCCCTGTTGCCTTTGGAGGCCACGCATAGGCCCTGCTTTGCTTGCCTGTGTACATGAAAACAAATGATGGAGAAGGCACAACAGGAAGGGCAAGCAGCCTTCCTTTTTGGAAAAAGCAGTTAGAGGTGTGGTTTATCCATCAGCATCAAGGGAGAATGTCCATGGGATCAGCTATGAGGGCCTGACACCCTCAGAGGAGATTCTTATTTTGGAGGTGTGGGGGAGGGGAGGAAATCTAATACCCACCTGCGTGGCTTCTGTTATCGTTCATATCATTTCACTGTAACAAAACCTGCTGCAACCTCCTGGAACTGGATGTTGACCCAGAGAGAGAGCGCTGCCAGCTGCACAGGGCCTCAGAGTTGGCAGCTGTGAGGAGAGTCACAGGCCTCAGAGTGAGCAGATTTAGTTTGAAAGCACAGGTGCCTGTGTTTTTGAAAATTGTTGGAATTCCAATCAATCTCAATGCAGGGTGGGGGAAGGAAGTTAAAGCAGTGTGATCCTTGCATCTGTCAAAATTATCAATTGTCCTGCGGGTCATTTGAGCAATTGGGTAAAATGAAGAGCAGGTCACTATTACAAACAAGCAAGCCAGGGACTGCCTGGCTACACATCCGTGCGGGCAGGCTGTGCTGTCCTTTCTTTCAAGCACGTTTTTGGTTCTGCCAGCTGTACTCTTGCATAACTGCGCCTCAGAACCAGCCGTTGCCATGGTTTCAGCTCAGCCCAAAGAAGCAAGAGTAAACAATTCTGAGCAGATCAAATGCCACTGACTCTTGATTATATTGGATGGTGGTATACGCTGTCCCTAAACTGTTTTTCTGTGGTTGAATACGGTGTTTTGAAGCGATGCCTCATAGATAGGTGTCATGGATCTCATAGACATTTATACTTCAGAGTGGTCAAATGTACTGTAAAGATCTCATCGGAGAAATCACGCAGGGCAGCACCTTCTTCTAGCCCCCAGCCCTCCACTCCATGGTGGTACCCACTGTGGAGTCTGTACTGGGCATTTACTGTGAGGGCGCATCTTAGCACACTTGGAACCCAGAGAAGCAGCTGTCATGAACCCCATTTCACAGATGACACAGTAAGAGCTGAGTAACCTTCCTAGAGCCTTAGAGGCCAAGCCAGGGATGGAACTTGGGTTGGCCTAACTCCAGGAAAAGCTCAGGCTCTTTCCACTCCAAAACCCTGTCTGTAACCTCAGGGAATCCCCAGGATGGATTTGAGGTTTCCAGAAAGCAGTAATTTTCTTCTCACTCACTCATTCGCTCATTAAACAGCTAGCGCATACCAGCTACATGCCCAGCCCTGTAAAAGGAACTGGGGACTGGAGGGAGGCAGAGTCATCCCTCTCCAGAGAAGCGCTTAGGTTTGGGATCAGACATGAAAACATAACCACAAAGCTGTGTGAGAAGGGATAGGGTGAAAGAGCAAGGAGGGAGTGCTGGCTTGGGACAGGCCTAGGTGGCTGTGAGCAGCTCAGGAGCGACTGAAGGGCTAATTTTTGAGCCAGCAGTGGAGGACAAGTAGATTTTTAGTCAAGTATTTCAAAGTGAGAAATGGTCCTAGCCAAAAAGTAAGAGTGTGAATGACCTGTTGTAATGTGGTAGTGTTGGGAAGGTCTTGAGGAGAGAGAGAACCACAAAGATAGAATGGCACCAAATCAAGATGGCCCCTGTGATACATTTTGTAGTTGGTTCTGTGGTCTTTGATGGACCATTGGTAAGGACAGGATGTGACCAGATGTAAGAAAATGCAATATTAACATTCACTTCCTCAGAGTTTTATCCAGGGACTTGTCTGAGTGTGAGTAAAATCCTAACATACTGTGTGTGCAGTATTGACATGTGCAGTTAGGCTTCTCACACAAGATGTCTTTCTAGGTCAACTTTCTGCAGAAGAGGGCATCCATCCTTCAAGAAGAACTGACCACCTACCAAGGCAGAAGGTATGAGCAGTGGATGAAATGCCTTCCAGTTAATTTGTACTGTGTATCCCTGCAGTCTTTTAGCATTCCCTGCTTCCCAGCAATGTCTAGACACAAGATAAGTCTCAAAAAGAAGACATTTTTAATGAACGGCTTGTCTTTGAGATGTCACCCACCTCTTTAATCACAGGGCTTAGATTCATCAGAACAAGATTCTGGAATCTCGGGGTGTGGCAAGTAGGTAGGGACCTCACCTGGGCAGTCAGGCAAGGTGTGGTCTTGAAGCCCAGCTGTGGACTGAAGGAGACACCATCTTCCTTTAAGACCTTGGCATGATGCAATTCTCTGTGATGGCTCACATCTTCAAAGTACCTTATCCCGGGGGGGGGGGGGGGTTTGGCACTGCTCTCCATACCAAAGCAAGTCAATGGCTTCGTGATGTTAAACATTCACAGAGATGGAGTGTCGTAGTGCGCAGAGCTGTGGGATGCAGGAGATCTTCTTAAAGGTTCCCAGTGACATCACCAAGCAAGGTGATGTTTACTGATGGTCCAGTTCAGTCAGGCAACTTTGCTTTTAAGTGCAGTCACAGACGAGGCTGCTCACTTGGCATCGAAATAAAAGGAATGAGCTTGTGAATCATTTACTTTTCAAAAGATTCTGTGTGCCTGATAATGATAAGATCAGTTGCTTATAGGCATATGTGATGAAATTTTGATAGCACATACCCTTTTGAACCTCCAACTCCTGCAGAACTGTAACACGTTTTACAATTGACTGAAAACCCTAACGTGGGTTTTTGATTTCCAGGTAACTGCATGGGAGAGTGTGGTAATTGTCCGGGCTGCACTGTGGATTTCATCCAGCAGGTTTGAAGATTTGGATAGTGTAAACTGTGAGATCAGTGGCTTTTTTTTTTTTAATGTTTAAGGGTAATTAAGATCATAAAAATATGCATCATCCATACACTGGGTTGGCTTTACTTGTATCTAAGTTATGTTTTGCCATTTCCTTGTGGACCCCATGTTTGTATTGGAGTACGTGCTGAAGACTGCTTATGTTGGGAGATGTCCACTCGTGTTGTGCCTCAGTGATGCCTTGCAAGGGTCTTACAAGCTGCAAATGATAAGAATCACGATTATATTATCATATAAAAATGCTTAGCCTGCTAATGTTGTCCCCATGTTTATTGTTCATATATTAAAATGTCATTTTGTACTATTCCGTTTTCCTTCTACATTTTATCTCACCTCATCTGCTAGGCATGACATGTACATGTTTTTCCCCAACACATACCGACCATCTCAATTTCTGATTTGGAAGAAAATACCTTCTGTCGTGTCAAAGATCACTTCATAATTTCGGCATGAGCCTGCCGTCCAGATCAAATCACTGGGTCATACTCGTTGCGCATTTCTAGCCTGGCCCTCGGGGCTGCAGGCAGCTCTGGTTTCCTGTTACTTTCTTGATGTCTCCTTTATGGTTGCTGCCTTGATCATCACATCTGGCCATGATTCTTAAGAAAGCCTAACAGCAGTTGGCCATGTTTTGAGGACACAGCCTATGGGCAAGCAACCACGCCTGTCCACTGGTCTTGTTTGTCTGCAATGTGCTTGCTCTTATGAATGGTGTTTAAGCCTGGGTGCTTTTTCCACACCAGTCCTGTGCTGATTGGTCCGTCCTGGTTTGCCAAGGAAATTCCGAGTTACAGTTGAAAAGATGCTCCAGTTTCATTTGAGTGAATGTGCGGTGTGTCGTGGGCCTCTTGAGACACTCTAAAAATGTAGTGAGGGAGGGACTGTAATCATCCCGTTCACTATAAAAGGACAGGGGAGAGCACTTATTTCTACTTATTCAAAATTGTTTTTCTTTCTCATGCCCAAATTAGCCCATTGTTTGCTGTCCAAGGATTAGATTAGTTGGTCTTTCTTGTACTTTGTCTAATACATGGGAAAGATAAGAAAAACCAGGTTTTACAGCCTCTTCCAAAGCCAGGCAGGTCAGACTGTGTTGGCCATTAGTAGGAGGTTGGCACCTTGCGCTAAGCCACCTTTGTAGAGGCACCACCTTCCTGGTGCCTCTCAGATGTCCTCCTCCCCCAACCCCTCCTCCAGAAATATAAATCTGTGTCCTGTGAATGCTCACCAGGCTTTGAGAACATTCACATAAAGCAAAATCATAGCAGTTGCTATTAAAGCCCCCTCTGCAATGAGGACAGCTGATACTCAAGTGGTGGCCTAGCACTTGGAACAAAGAAGGCGGTTTGGTTAATTTTAAGTGCTTCTGTGGGGACCATGAAAAGAAGGTTGAGGTCAGAGGACTTCAAGGTTATTGGCGGCCTGAAATGAAAATACTTTCTAAGTTGTTTTGTTTGCTGTAATTGGAACTCCCACTCAGGAGTATTTGTTTTCTGTGAGTAAATATCAGTATGTGTTTTGGAAGCTTGCCTGCTATTCTTTCTGTTCCTTATTCCAAGGGTTATGAAATTACAAACACTGGTGAACCTTTGACATTACCCAGATCCCATTTCCCTTCTACAGTGCGCTGAGCATGTCTGGGGGTAAAGTGAATGAAACTTTGGATCAATTTTGATTGTATGTGATAGGAATGGGTTTGCTTACACTTGTGTTTTTGTGAACATTCTGTGATAAAGGAAGAGAAAGAAAAATCGCTTGTGGCATGTTTGAAATTCCTCGCTGAGCTGAGCCCTGGGTGTGTAAGTGACTACTGGGACAAAAGCAAATGCTCAGGAAATGAATTATAAACACTGTACTTCATTATAAAATCATCTAAGATGTGTCCTTCTTTTATCTGAGGATCACTTGTTCGTCATGAGTGCCTAATTTAGTTACATCTCCAGGTGTCATGGTTGGCTACCATGCTTGAGCCGCCACCTTTGCCTTTTCTGTTTCAACATGGAATTGTCAACAGGTGGAGGCTGATAAGGCATTTGACACACTCAGAGAAGGAAAGCTCTGACTCAGGGTGCTGTGGCTGGCTATGTTAGCCATTCTGTAGGAGTCAGGGAAGAGGAGCCCTCCAGGGAAGTCGGCAGTTCAGTCACCCGCACAGGTCATAGTTCCTGTCAGTCCATTTCCATTTCCCCAGCAGTAAGACCTTCTGGGAGTCTGACCTCTGATTCTACAACCTGCCTGTTCACCAAAGAACTCCACAGAGGGCAGCCATCAAGGGATACAGTGGAGAGGGAGGAAGTCTAAGATAGAGGGAACAGAGGACAGATGTGCTTCACAGGCTGCACAAAGGTGGCAAGGTGGCCAGAAGGGAATGGCTCCTATGCTGAGACCATTCTGTAAATGCCACATATTAACAGTGATTCTTCAGAAACTGGCATGCGCTTACAATGGTGAGCAACCTCATTAAAGGAGTCTGCGGAGAAAAGTGCAGAAGGAAGGAACTGGGAGTTTGAATTAACAATTAACAACATCCTCATTGAAGTGCATCACCAGCCAGGAAAGGCAGCGGCGCCTGTGCTTTCTGTCTAAGGGTGAAAGGAAAGGTAAAACATCAAAAATGCTGGGAGAAAAGTTTCAGAACACAAGGTCATTTGAATTCACAGTTTCCTTAAAAGAACTCTGTCTTCTGAGCTTTCATATTTTGTTCAGAAAGGTCGCCTCTTTTAAGCCTTGTCATTAAAGACGGTTTGCTCTTTAAAGTGAATTATCAAAGGGTATAGAAATTGCGAGTTACTGAAACTAAAATGCATGATCAATTTTAAGTCTGCTAACTAAAGCCTGCTTAAATTTGGATGTGCTTTTGTGCTGGCAGCCGCTTTGATAAAACCAGGAGAAGATACGTGGTTGGCCAATTCAAAGTAGCGAAAGGAGATAATTAGACAAAACTTTCTCAACTCTCGGAGTGGTCTTGGCTTTAGAGGCTTCGTTTGGAAGCTGTGGCAGAGGCCCTGAATGCTGTTTGAGGAGCGAAGTGGAAAGCTCCAGATTCTGACAGGGTGAACATTAACCTTTTTTACTGTACTGTTTTAAAAACAAAATCAAACTTCAGGTCATATTGTTTGCCTCATACAGAGGAAAAGAACTGAAATCAATGCCATGAGACCAGAGTTGTTAAAACTGGTTCCCTCCACAGGATCAGTGGCAGCTGGAAACCTCCCCTATATATCTCAGTTTCTAAGTCATGGTTTCCGGGGGGGCAAACATTTTTACATCGGACCTAGGTGTTGCTGCAGGTGTTGCCATTTAGGGGAGGAGGTTTAGTCCAGACTTGAGGCTACCAGTCTGATACCCTCCCTCTTTGGGGGTCTGTCACCTAAAGTGGGGCCTTTTAGAGTACGGTGAGGTGCACATAAAGGCCTCATCATGGAACACAGCGGGGCTACCTAGTGAGAAGCTGGCCTCATCTGCCTAGCTGAACTATATACTTACGTGGGAAAAGCTACTTTGCCATTCTCTTTCCCTTTAGCTAGGAAGGAATTTAGCTCATAGGTGGCCTCTGCTGTTTCTGTCTCCCTGGTGATTCTCTTCCCCTACTTGGGCCTCACTGCTCAAATTGAGAACACAAATCATTATATTTGACTAATATTTCCACCGGTATCACTCCAACCCTTTCATTTAGTGTTTCTCAAACTAGAGAGGCATGGTAACACACTCCTTTAGTCCCAGCACTTAGGAGACAGAAGCAGGCAGATCTCTGTGAGATCTAGGCCAGCTCGGTCTACAGAGTGAGTTCCAGGGCAGCCAGAATTACGGAGAGTCCCTGTCTCAAATAAAAACAGAAACAAAACACAAAACAGTGTTTCTCAAACCAGTGCCCAACAAGGTCTGTTTGGAGTGGCTTATCTCAGAGTGTGCTGACGTCCCATTTGACAGTTCTGAACGCTGTACTCTTCACTTGAAGGTTCACATGTATTAACTGATCCTTTATTCATTTATTGCTTACTTATCACCTGTGTTCAAGCCAGTAGAGTAGCCCCAGGCCCAGTGGCATGCTTTATAAAACACTAGTGGCAGACACCGGAAACATGACTGTGAGCCCCCAGTGCTGCCTCATAGTCAGGAAGCTCATGCTCCCCACTGGCCAGCGGAGGCAAGCAAGATAGCAGACAAGACGCCAGAAGCCACGTATGTGCTGGGCCCTGACACCAGCAAAAATTCTACTATATTCCACTAATGATGGAGCCTGTCTAGAGTAAAGGACAGAGCTCCAGCCAAGTGGAGCCCCTGTGCCACCTTGACCTGTTACAACCTTTGTTTCAAAGAAAAAACAAAAACAAAAACACAAAACTGTTCTTAACTCTTCTTAACCTGGAATTTTGTAAAATGGATTGACCCACACAAGCAATTGTTCCTTTTTGATTTGATTTTTGCTTAAATTTCTTCTGGGACCTTTTATTTTGTTGTAGAGTTTTATGAGATATTAATAAGAGAAATCCCAACCAAATTGATTAGTTAAAAAAAAAAATTCCTCCCTGTTTAAAAATGCTGTTGATGTGTTATCTGTCTACAGTCACAGATTAACTTGAGGATTTAGAAGTGCATTCTGGGAAGGCCTGAGTTAGCAGTATTCCGTAAGGGCATGTCTTCTGTGAGTCTTTTCCAAGGCAGAAGCAACCGTTTTCTTCCCGCTCTTCTCTATTTGGGACTTGTTCCCCACTGTTTATTGTAACCATCTTAGCAAATGTATCATTTTAAGGATCTGCCAGAACTCACTCCGTGTGCTTCAGAGGACATCCCCTTCTTCAGAGGAATTCTCAGGCACAGGGAAAGGTGTGGATTTGATGAGACAGACAGGGAATTTTCCTGAACCACAGAATTTAAAGACTACTGGCTAAATTGAGCGTAATCCTTTAGATAAACAAATGAATCAGCCTCCTGATGGC